AACTAATTCTATGTCTACGTTATCAGTGATAGATGGGGAAGTGCCTGCAGTATCATTAGTGGTACTTGTTGTGTGTGTGCTGTAATCAGTGCTTGTTGCTGGATTATCCTGATAGGTTACGTGATGTTCATTAATGTTACATGTTTCTTTCTGTTGATGTATTTGATCAGCAACCTGTTGTTTGATAAGTTCAAGTGTTGTTTGTGGGATAAGGTTGTTATGTATAATTGTTCGTTTTTGATCAACAGCCCTTTGTTCGGTGACAGTGAGGTGAGGATATTGTTGTGTGAATATGTGGTGTAGTTGTTGTCTGTATGCTGTCATGTTTGTTTCGAGTCTTGTGATGGTGTAGTAAGTACGGATGATTGCAACGTAAAGGCATCTCTAGTGATATAGCGTCCTTCTACAACAGGTATAACTACAGACAGGATCTTTCTTTTTTTCTTTCTTTCTTGTCTTATTAATATGGAGAATCTAGAGGATGCCTTTGCGCGCTCTTTTTATAGATCGAGTCGGCTCTGGTATTACGCAATGAGCCATCATTCTATAACTCGTAATCATTTCCATATCTGTTAGAGTCTTATCAACATGCCAAGTTTTGTAGTAATACGACAACTCCTTGGTGCGCTAATTTTTTGTCAATGAGAGTATATTCTAATAACCTTTTTATACACTTTCCTTGCGTACACAGACATTTTTGATATTAATGTAATTAAACATAAAAAATACTTAAGAACACCAAATGGTTTGAAAAGCCAATTGAGAATTGATTGAGAAGGAGATTTAGTTGATATAAAAAAAAAAAAAAAAAGCATGTGGAACCAATGCATGCGTTTTTCGACGCTAATATTTACCTGAATTTTTTTATTTTTCACGGGAATTTTAAGACTATACGGCATCCATATATTAACATCCTCATCTATTTTTAACGATGTGTAATTTTTTCCATTATTCCATACAGCGATAGCAGTTAACGTACTTTCACGTTGACTTGTAGGTAAATGATTTTTCTTGTAATTAAATCTTAGACAAGCTTGGTCCTTTACTAAAATAGGCACCGTAAACAACAGGGAAGACTTTGGCTTGTTTGTCGTAATTTCTTCATGGCAAGCTACAATACGAAGAATAATCAAACTGATTTTTATTGACAAAATTAAATGAAATATTTTAAAATAAATATAATATACTATGTAATCCACAAACTGTCTTCCAGTCTTTACTGCATTGAATTACGTATTGGCATTGTTCCATCATCCCTTTGGAAAAGTCGCATTGCCATAAAATCTCATTTGGTTCATCATCGATATCATTCTTAGGTGCTATAAAAAGTCATAAATAAGTAATGCATTTGTAAATTCACAAATATCAATGTGAATTTATTTCTAAGTATCTTCGTTTAACCACTTGCCGCTCACCGATTAATTAATTTAATGTAATTAAGCATAAAAAATACTTAAACTGAAAAAAAANCCATGCTATTATTGGACCTTGTAACCATATTTTGTTTTACTTAGTGTGTTGAGGCGTTTCGGGCACCCATGGAACCCATGGTCACTTCCTTCCTCTCTCCTATCTATCTAACTTCCTCTTGCTGCTTATCATCTTACCTTCGAACCTTCTTTCCATTTCCTATCTAAACGAGCTAAGTCAGTCAGCTAAAAGACCGACAGCTCTCTCACCCTCTTTTACAAATTACAAATATTTACTGGTAGCTCAATGTCACTTAAGTTTTATAGGATAAGCATATGGCAATGAGCATATGACATGTACCTAGGATGAGCATATGGCAATCACAAGCTTCAATCACTATGTATCCATATTTGTACAACAGTTTGTCATCTCAATAATTAAAACATTAAATTAATCACACATTAGTTACATGACATTATCAAAAAATTAATTTCTGTCATGACTCAATCTTTATTTTGCTGACATCAAGTCTTGCTGCAAATATTTTTCCGTTTCTGGTTGAGGCTGACTTAGTGACTCATACTGCTTACATCAGCACCTATTGGTTATTTGGCTTCTATGGACATTTTCAGGCATGTCGCTGAAGGACTGCTGATATCATCAGTTGTATAGACTATATAATGCAGAAACTGCTCAAGTAAATCATTTGTTCATTTCAACAAAGTTATTAAATAATAAATATGGCAGCAGCAGCAATTAAATCTAAAACTGAAGTGTACCTCCTTGGTTCAACAGTAACTGAATTAACCAGCAACAAGTTGCCATCCTTACGTCAGGCTCTTAGTTTGTTTTTATATCACCATCTTCAACTGAAACAAACTATCAGACAGTCATCAGCTGTTACAGTTGAAAAGCTAGCAATATTTTATGAAATGGCAAGGTTCCCAATTATGGATCCAAGAAACTACATAACTAAACTAGAACGAACATTTGAAGAATGGTTTTTGCTGAAGAAAAACAAGGGGTGAAAATCTGTAACACAGCAAACAAATGAGGCTGAATTTGTTAATAAACTAGACGAATTTTTTGACATTTCTCATCTTAGAGCAGTCAAAATGATAAAAATTCCAGAGGATTGTGGGTTCTTGTTAGCTCAGTGTGAAAAAGGGCATAAAGGGTCAATGGTAGGTGTGGATGCAAAATTAGCTGCAAAGGAGAAGCAATTAGCAAAAAGACAGGAATTGATTCTTAACAGAAAACGTAGAATGGAAGACTTGAAGAGAAGTGATGAAGAAATAGCAGAACTAATATCCTCAAGCAGCAGCACAGTTACTGAAAAAGATGATGCAAGCTGTAAAAGAAACAGAGTAACTAGTGAGGGAGCAGTTGGAGACAGATTATCCAGACAGCAAGAAAGAGACATTCTCTGCCTCTACCAAAATAAACTGATAAAGTTACATTGAATGTAGTACTGACAATTTCAAATTTTGTGAATTGTGATGTTTAAAATTTTTTCTAGTGCATTTTGGTTTTGTAATCCATAAAGTTTTTGAATATTGCAGAGTCTACATGACTATTTCATTTGTCTGTAATTGTCTGAAAAAGTGAAACAAATCTGGTTTACCAAAAACAGGTCTTGTAGGTTTTCATTAGTCATAAATCACTCTTTTCATAAACTTTGTGGTCATTGAGCTACCTCTAAATATTAATATATAAACTTCAAATTTCTTCTGTAGTAATTTCAGACCAGTTGGAATAGTTCTGGAGGGCAGGACCACAAAAAAGTAAGTCATTTACTTTTTCCCTATTTTATATATATATATTATATCATGCTTATCTAAAATTCCATTATTGTCCTATGAAACATATCAAGTTAAAATAGCTCTAAAAATTCAATCCTATATTCTGTCTCAATGGAGCTGATAGTGATGTCAACATGGATATATAACAGCAGTTATATCTTTATTGTGTAATTGTTTTTAGTTTTCATATGTTAATAGTTTTAAAATAAAGTATTATTGTGTTGCTTATTGTTAATGATTACACAATGTAAGGACTCCAGTAAATGAATTTTATGATGGAACTATATTGTGTGCAAGAATATTGGCATTCCTTAGTAGTTCTCCTATCATGGTAGATTTTTAACATCGTGCCATCTCTATCATCTACATCGCTATCGACTCAGTTGAAACAGTATAGTAACATTAGTTTAAATCATAAGACAAGTATAAATTTTGAAATATTTCAGGGGAAAATAAACTTAAAATATATAAACTTTAATTTTATGCATATAATAGATAAAGTATAACATGATAAAAATATATAAACAAATTATCTGAACTTTAATCCTATTGGGAGTATTTATGGTAAACTGTATCATTGAATTTATAAGAAGATATATTGTGTTTTCTCGATTTTAATATGGCCTTAAATCTAATGCACACTCAATTTTTGAGATGTCAAAACCCAAAAAAAAATTGTATTTAAACAGAAATAAATACTGTTTTTGGAAAACATTTTATTTTCATGTTTACAGTGCTTCACAATGTCCACATTTTCAAGTGTATTCATTTATCCATTATCAGGTACAGAGGATCTGTGAATCAATACAAAATCACAGTCAAAATTACCATATGATCAACATTTTAACAGTGAGATTTCACATTAATATGCACAAGCATGAAATTTACCAGATAGGTAGTATCACAGTAAAAAGTTTTCATACATGTTCTTCAGCATACTGGATAACACTCAATGCTTAAACACAGTTTTATAGAAGATTCATCTGCTGGACAACATTACTTGGCTTGCAGCAGTTCAAAAAATCAATAAACCATTCCAAAAAAATACCAAAATAGTGGAAGGACATGTATACGTATATACTGTTATAATAGATGCAAATTGCTGAGCAGAGTGAAGAGCAAATGATGTGAATGTGGCAGCATTAAGTCAACTTTGTGCCCAATTCTATCTAATAGGCACATCAATTCTAATGCACATCTCAATTTTTGAGACTATAAAAGTCTAATAAAAGATGTGTATTAGAATCAAGAAAACACTAGATTATCCAAATGATAAAGCAGTATAAGTCAATGTTTAAAAGAACAAACAGCAGAAAATTCTGGATATATATATGTATATAAAATCTGGCGAGTACTTTACAAACACCTTAAAGTTTTAATAAAGAAGATTTTAATATCCATTACTAGTTTCTCTATCATAAATATTATTTCTACATCTGAAGTAACTGAATATTAATAATAAAATAACAGTATTAAATATTTTACCACAGTTAATATTTAAAAACAAAATGTTTAAAATAACAAATCAAAAACTAAATCAATTAAAATTACTTATATGTTGAATATTGAAAGTTATCTATATTTATCAAAGGAAAAAAAATTTTTTACGTAAATAATTATGGTTATAAAGACAGTATCTACTACAATGTAGTTCATTGTAGCATTAATTAATTTACATTTAAATTTTGACTTCTAAGATTATGTAGAAACAAATTTAATAATACAAGATATTTTCTGACAAATTTGAAAATCTGCTTTTAAAGTCTATCTTTAATGCTGATTTATTGTTTCAAAAATATTTTTTCTGAATTATTTGCACAATTAAATTTTTTTAATACTGCTGAAATTTCTTGTTTCAGATTTAAAAGGAAAAGATCTAGTCAGGTTTCAACTGCTATATATATGCAGATGATTTTGAACAGGAATATCTCATCTGTATAATATAATAATAATATGCATCATAAAATTTAGTAAAGTAATGACAACTTATAATACCTCATTGATAACAATCATATTGCATCCTACTCAAAAGTCATTGGAAGATTTTTCTGCTTTTAATAATGAAAACAAAAAAAAATCTTCCAATGAAAGTATCTGTTGTTATTGCTGTGATTAAATATAGAGTAATTTCATATCACTGTTTAATGTTAAAAATAAAAAATAGTACTGCTATTTTAATTATTCATTATGTCCAGATAATATTTTAACTAGATTTTCCTTAGCTATGATGTAATAATATCAATAAGTTATCTCGTTAGAATTACTTTGCCAAAATATTATCATTTAAGGATTGCATCATATTTAGCTATAAATGTTGGTATTTTGAATTTCAAGGCCTTAAATGGTGCAAGTAAATACATTTATTGAAGATAAGCATTAAATCCCTACAATATTTCAATATCATCTTTTTACTCTAAAAATCCAGTATATATAGTTTCTTGAGATTTTATAACATATATTTATTAAATTACTTACTTCTGTTGGTTTATAAAGAGAATAACCATCTATAAAAATTTGGTCTTGAGACGTTACACATTCCAAAATTTTCATATCAATTAGAGCTTGTCCAATTAAAACTGCTTGAGCTCTGGAATTAATATATCATCAAAATATTTAAAATTTTAATTGATTTTATATTCTAATGTATACTTATCATCGTTATTAAATCATTTTAAAATAAAAAATAATTCATATATTATATGCTGAAATATAAATTATAATCACCTTGAAGATGACTTCCTCTGTGCAATAAGCCAATCAATTAATTCACTTCCAACAAGACAATTTGTATAAGTACGTAATCTGTGCCTGTGATTTTGAAATTCGACACCATGAACTGGATGTTTTATTTGAGACCAAAGATCAGTTAGAGTAACATTATCCTGTAAAACATTTTTATTTCTATTTAAATATTTTTTGAAAAGCAGCAGTCAGTAAAAATTAAATTTATATAAAATTCATTATTCTATATTAATTAGAAATTAAATATATCTTTTATCATTCAATTTTGCTTTATAGATTACAGTTTTTGAATGCAATAAACTCTTGTTTTAAGAGAAAGTTCAGTTAATCCACAAAGTGAGACATTCATAAATAAAAGCTGATGATTAAGTCTACATGAATCCCTGTCATTGATTTTTCATTACAATAAAAATTAAACAAATTTTTTTATGATAACTGAAAGTTAATTCAGCAAAATGTTTTAAATAAATATTTAATCTTTCTCAAGTAAAATTTTGAGTTATTAGGTATATGAACAAATTCATAGAATGTCAAAATTTTTTTACATTTTGAAGTATTTTATAATTAAAAAAGTATGATAGAAACAGATTTAGAAAATCAAATTATAATTTTATTTAAGATTAACATTGTCTCTTGAAGTACATCATATATTGATATCTAAGTAGAAATAAATTTTTAAAAAGAAACTGTAGAGAAATGATAATGTTAACCTATATAATAAAATTATTACAAGTTTTTGGAGATGAGACATTCTAACAATTCAAAAATAGCAATGATGTTAGTAATCTAAAGTTCACTTATAAATAATATAAATAATGATGGTAATATATCATCAAAAATTTGCATTGAAAAATTTAACAATATTCTACTGCAAATCTATATATATAAAAATGAATGTATGTCTGTGTGTCCTTCGTGCATTACCACACCGTTTATCCGATTGCTGTGAAACTTTGGGAAGTTGTTTAATATACTCCGGCAAAGGTTTGTGGCATAGTACGATTGCCATAAAACTTCGGAAAGTTTTTTAATACACTCCCGCGAAGGTTTTTGGCATAGTACATTTATCCTACGATAGATGGCGCG